CAGCATTATCCAAAGACCAGCTCCTCAAGACACCCAGAGGATGTACGATGGCCTATGAAAAAAAAATCATTTAAATATGAACTAAAATACTACCACAGAACAGCAAATCATTTTACATGGATTCATAAATGAGTAGCACCCAGCGTGCAGTTTATATACTTATTTGGCCAGACATTCCTCTGGAAAATGAACACCACAGATAAGCTGCACTTCATCATAGATATGCTATAAACTCAAGAACACAGCTAGCATTTGTAACTGTATTTATAAACTGCTTATCAATGTCTATTTAATGTAGAGTTAATGCTAAACAAATAAAATATTAATAAATTAACTAGTTATTAAATGCTTAATAATTATTTATTTATAGTATGCAGATGTTATAAAGTGTTACTCAACAGTTTGAGATAACCTCAATGAAAATCATCCTGTAGTTTGTTTTCTTTTCCTCCTACAATGAGCCTAAGCAATCCAATCATATTGGCCATAACTTCTTATTCGCCAGGTAAAACATACCTGATATAAATTAAAGATATGAGACTTTATTTGGTTAAGACCTGCAGAATAATCCTAACTTTCAGAATCTCATTCATCACTGTAAAACGATGACAAAACATCAGGCTAATAACACATACAGTATTGTGGGGTAAACAGGCAGTCAGCACAATTTTTATTGTGCTAATGTAATACAACGAATAACACGAATTCAGTAAAATATAGATAAATCTAAAACTCTTACATCAAACGTGCTTTTACCATCTTAGTTTAATACATGTCACTTAGCACATTAGCCGTTAAGTCAACAAGCCATTAAATCAACAATGTTTCATTAAACCTTGGTCACGAGCTACGAACGTCGTAGCATTTAATCAAACTAGAAAACGAACTCTAGAAAATTATTAACAGTTATAACAGCTCTCACTCTGGCTGTGTAAAATTATCCATAATTATTATTATAATATTTTATTCTTCTTCTGGAAAAAATATCGTCACGTAACATTTTTGTCCCAGACCCTTAAAAGTGGGGTAAATCATGCAGGCTAATCTGGCATTTCTGCATAAACTCACTGTATAAAACAGTAGCATTACAAAATAAACACATACTTTAACAGTTTAAAATAAAACTTAATAGAAAAATCGGTACTTACACTTTCCTTGTCATCCGTGTCGTCCATTAGCGCATCCATGATCCAATCCGACAGGTGACGCTGTCACAAAAAACTAGGGTCCTAAAGATGCGGTCCTAAAAATGCGGTCCTGAGAGTGCAGCCACTCCAGTTGTGCAAGAATACCCTTCTCGGTAACGGCGCTCATTACTCATGTATCCGCCGAGAGGCGCCTGTCTTCAGGCTAGACATTGGGACAATTGCCCCGTCTTCGATGGCTCTATATGCGTCCGAAAATGAAGTTTTAACTGTTTTTCATGCTAGAATGTAGTTGTTTAAAACTCTAATCTGTGGTTTATTTATATAGATAAAAAAATAATAATTTATATATATATATTTAATACTGAGATTAGTGACCTCCAGGCGATGACAGGTGCCCAATACTCATGAAACCGTCTAAAGCAGACATTTACCCTGACATTGAAATAATTGTTGGCTGTTTAACAGTCTTTGGTTTCATTAATTAATTACTTTTTATTCCAGTTTATTATGTTTTGGCTAAGCACACAGTTATGTTCATTAAATATTATTTCCTATTCTAACTGTATAAAATTAAATAAAGGTGCAGTACAATCAAAAAGATGTTGGTAACCAAATCGTTTTGGGGGCTATAACATTCTGTTATTATCTGTTAAAAGTTCATTTGTATTAATTTCTACGTTGAGTTTAAAAAAGGTTTGAATTTCTATAACTAACGTGCAAAAGATATAGCCCTTTTCACAGTAATTTGCTGTAATCATGCTACCTGCCGTAATTTCACAATAAAATTATGAATACAACATATTACTGTGAATTTTTCAGTTAAATACTGTGAAGGGATACTAATGTAATTTACTGTGAAAAATTACAGTAACTTGTTGTGAAAACCTGGAAATTTTTTACAGTGTGTCTCTGGAGGTATAGCTTCTTCAGCATACAGTACGTATCTTTAACTGAATTGAAAACCCCAATGCATTTCATTACCGACAGATAAGAATAAAAGTATTTCGAACTTCCACTTTTGTGTCAATTTGTTTGTAAATTTTTTAGCCAATGTATTCTGCTTTTGGTGCCATTTCTAATAGTTTCTAAAAAGTTATTGTTGTAAGCCCTGAAATCCATTTTATGAAGTGCCGTCATGGACAAATAAGGGCTGCATGGCAATAAGTCAGCTGCCAAAGCTTTGTGACGCAGCAGAAAATTGAGGAACAATGTGATTCAGCTGCGAAGGTCAAAATCATGATTACGAGTACCCATAGCAATACCTTTGCAAATTAGTTTCTATTAGTAGTATTATAAGGATTCATACAAGATTAAAGGTATACTTTGTCTCCTACTCAATAATAGAGAATCAGGTGTTTTGCTTTTTAGCTCAAAAACAGGCTTGACTCTTCTGCTTACTGTTAAATCAGAGGTTTTACAACTTTGAATTGCATGTTGCATATTGGCATTGGGTGTGTCTTGTAGTTTGATAGTTACATACAATTAAATACAAACAGTTAAAAACAAAACAATTAAAGCAGGATAAAACATCATATTATAGAATTTCTAGTTTTCATTTTTCCTGTTACTTTGACTTTCTTTAATACTCGAGCACAATTTAAATGTTTTTTTTCTGGCGGGTACTTCAACTATTAATTGATTCTATTAAAATATGAATTTGACTCACGTTATGAGTTATATATATATATATATATATATATATATATATATATATATATATATATATATATATATATATATTTTTTTTTTTTTTTTTTTTTTGATGAACTATTTTTTAAATGTCTCTTCATTATAATTTACAGTGAGTTCTAATAATGTGCAGTCTATAAAAAACAAAAACCTAAACATTAAAGTTAAAATTTTATATTATTTAAGTTTATAACCTTAGAAAAATTGTTAAGGAAAGATCAACAGTTTGCATTATTTTATTTTTCATTTTATGCTGGTTATGCTAGTTTATTGAAATCGTTATTCTTTTTATTTGGTCTCATTTATGAAAGCCTTAAGAACAGGGGTAATGCACTTTTACGTTTTTTGAAAGTTGGAACATAATTCAAGTCTGAAGGGGTTAAAAGTACAAAAGTGTACCATATTAAAATAGTGTCTGTCAATATAGTATAGACAATGTCTTAATGACGTCTTTATAAAAGTTGTTACATTTATAAACTAGAGCTTTCAGGTGGTCTCTTTACCAAACAGTGCCAATTGTGAAGCCCTACAGAGTACTTTGTTCATACACAAGTTGCCTGGTTGCATAAAATATTTTATGATGAAATAAATTTGCTGTGGGCTGCACAGTGGCGCAGTGGGTAGCACGTTCACCTCACAGCAAGAAGGTCACTGGTTTGAGCCTCATTGGTGTCAGTTGGCGTTTCTGTATGAGTTTGCATGTTCTCCTTGTGTTTGTGTGGGTTTCATCCAGGTGCTCCAGTTTCCCCCACAAGTCCAAAGACATGTGGTTCAGGTGACTTGAGCAGGCTAAATTGTCTGTAGTGTATGGGTGTGAATGAGTCTGTATGGACGTTTCCCAGTGATGGGTTGCAGCAGGAAGGACATCCGCTGCGTTAAACATACAGTGGATAAGTTGGCGGTTCATTCAGCTGTGATGACCCTATATAAATAAAGGAACTAAGTCGAAAAGAAACTGATTGAATGAATAAATCTGCTGTTGCATGTTTTTTTCTGAATTATGGAGTGATAAAAAATGCAAAACAGCTTTTTTTCTTTAACACGTTACAAAAAAATTCCACAAAACAAGTGAGTTATGCAAGATTGAGTCTGTACAAGATAGTGTCTGTAAAAAAATATATGACCCTAATATTTAAAGACAACAATAATAATACTAATAATTTTAACCTGACCTTTGTGTTCATATTTTTGTGCTTTTTATACATTCAATCAATGGGGAAATGATAATGCTGAAATAAGCTGTTTTATTTTCGTTAGTTAATTAATTAATTAATTGCACTTTTAACAGCAGTGTCTTGCCTTTTTTTTAATTCAAAATTAAATTAAATGTCTCATCATGAATCTATTTCTGAACTAACTAAAGTTAACCACTAGAGGGTGATCAATGACATTTAATAATGTTGAGTCTTAAATCCAGTTTCACAGTGTATGGTCTATTTTTTACATTATTATTTTTTCTTTTTTTTTCACATGATGTAAATCCTTTATTAACATCTATCTGGAGTCCACTAAATAGTAGGTAATAACCCCTTTAACTACAGATTATATTTTAACCATAATAAAAAGACAAAATTAAAAGGTGCATTTTTGTCATAAAATAGCGAGTGAGTGGCTTTATTTGGAGTTTCTAAGCTTTTAACCATACAGTTAAAGACTAAAAGGCATGTCTGTGACACTATGCAACAAACAGAATGAAGGTTAAACTAAAGTAAAATGCTAAACTGAGTTGTAGAATAAATAAATGATCCATCATATAATGCAAATTATGGACATCGTTCTACCCCTTACCGTAGGTAACATACTTGATTTCAAAAGTTTGTCAAAAAGGGCTCAAACAAATAGGCTTCTAAAATAAATAAAAATTATTATTAAATATGTAAATAATATTACCAAATAAACAATTATTTTTAAATTATGGGTCTGGTTGTGTTGAGTTTATCCTACAAAGGTTAATATTAGCCTAATTAAAATGCGATTTTTATTTTAAATGAAATAGGGTGCTGTATTTTAACAAGAACACAATTATGTTTCCTTGTAAATTTGCATACCGAAACCGATTTTTGAATGGAGTTTCAGGTGTTGAAACAGGAGGCTTATGGGTGGTGGAGTCTAATTATAATCATGAAAAGGATTGTTTGACTGCATTGTACTACGTATCCCAGTGTGCACTTCTTCTATTCAAGCAGACAGAGGCACACAGAAGTTTAGGTGAACAGTTGTGACACTCCTCCCCGACGTTTAAAAAGTTCGCTGAAAGACTGAGTAGAGAAACCACCATGCTCAAGGTAAGTGTTTTAAATTTAAACCATTTTTTAACATTTTACATTGACACTTTAGGACGAAAGACTAAACAATGTATTAGACGTGTTTGACTGCATCAAATCCTTCACGTGTTTTAATTTACTTACATCGTTTGCGTGTTGGAGGATGGCGTGTGTCATTCTGCCCTTTTAATAACCCTAAACCGATTACTTGAGTTTATTAAATATAAAACATTTTAAGCTGAATTAGAACGTTAGCGTTGTTTTTAACGTGAGATGACGCTACCAAACAAACAGGTGTATTGTGACGTGGCTGAAGCAGGGCGTGTTAGCGCGTGCTGATTTGAATAGCCTATTCAACCCTTTTACCACTGAGACAAAGCTTTGTATATGAGACACTGATATTCAGACAAGACAGACCTGTTTCCATCCATTGCCACTGCATAATGCGTATTCCATGATTCATTCTTTTCGGAGACAGGGCAGAGAGCTACTGGATGATGATTCAGAATCTCATGACAGGAGAAATTATTCAAAACAACAAGAGTTAGTTTCACTGTTACCCCAACGAGACTTGAGAGTATTGGTTAATAAACTGCGGCTTTAATAAACACCTAATACAATTATTATTAATCTAAAATTAAAATGAATGCGTAACCAGGGGCGTTGATAGGGTCGAAATGAATAAGGGGCTTAGCCCCAAAGAAGATCTAATTCACCCCAGTTTAAATATTCCCAGTTTCAAAAGGTGATCTACTCTAATCTCAATAATAGGATGATAAATTATTTATTAATAAATAAAGGGTTTTTAGGTTGACAGCCTTTTAACAATAAATTGTTTAGCTCAGTGACTTGTAACACCACAAAGAAAAAGAAAAAAAAAAAAAACATTGAATCAACCCACTAATCATTTACTAGTCTGTTTTGAGCTATACCATACTTCTTGAGCCTACTATCTCCTCCTGATTTGCAGTTTCTGTTTGTTTTTTGAAAATTTAATTTTCTGCATGTATTCAAATCTGAAAATATGAATTATTTTATAGTGCGAGTTGTTATCCAATGTGATACAAAGCTACAAACATGTTCATTTGGACAAGGTGATTAACCACGGCGTAGTGTTGTCAAGATACTGCAATTTTTCAATTCAGTAACTTCCAAAATATTGATATTTAATATGCAACTATTTTTTTTCATATTATAACAATAGTTTCAAAATTAGTACAAAAATAAATAAAAAAAAGATCTATATGCTAGAAATTTTTTACATGATTTTTCAGTTTTCCTCAAAATAGGGTGATGTGGGCATTGTAGCACTTTAAATGCATGTAATGCCTGTTTCATTCCTTCTTGAGCAGAAATTTTTATATATGCCTTAGAAAAGTTGTAGAACATACCAGGAAATCCCTAATATGGATCAAGGCATCAAGCTATTGCTGTAGTTGAATGAAAATAAGATCTGAATAAACATAAAAAGGCTCTAACTGATCTTGACTGCGACAATAAATGGTTTATATGTTTTCTTCCAGCCATCTTAGGTATTTTCATAAAGTCGATTTATAATTCAATGCTAACTGACATGGCATGTTACAGTAGAATGTAGCTATAAAATAATAAGCTTAGATGCATGAACTATCTGATTTAACTATTACAGATGCAGATGTGATGTGCTATATCATATTTAGATAAATATGTCTAGATATATTTAGAAAACTAGAACAAATTACGTTTTTCTGACTAATTCGCATATATGACGCACATTTTATTGATTACAGTTATTTTATTTCACCAAAACCATACACATTATTAGTTTTCTTTTCGGTTTAGTCCACTTATTAATCCGGGGTCGCCATATCGAAATGAACCGCCACCATATCCAGCACGTTTTTACAAAGCGGATGCCCTTCCAGTCGCAACCCATCTCAGGGAAACATCCACACACACACACACTCATTCAATACAGACAATTTGGCCTACCCAATTCACCTGTACCGCATGTCTTTGGATTAAAGGGGAAACCGGAGCACCCGGAGGAAATCCATGCAAACGCAGGGAGAACGTGCAAACTCAACACAGAAACGCCAACTGAGCCGAGGCTCGAACCAGCGACCTAGCAACCATCTTGCTGTGAGGCGACAGCACTACCTACTGCACCACTGTGTCGCCAAATATTACGCTTCATCACTAGTTAGAACTATTCAGTTTCGTAAAACAGTTTATTTACAGGATTATTACCTCATCAGCTTCAGCTCAAAATAGTGGATGAATGATTTTTTTAAAACCATGTGACAATAAGGTCGACAACAGTGCCTCTCCCACCTGCTGGTAGAAACAGGTACTGCTAAACAGCAGACTATATAATTACCCGACACAAACGCTGTGTTAAGTGAAATGCGCTTGATGTATATGGTAATTTTAAGTACTTGGATAACAAAATAAATGTAACCTATTTTTATTTAAGTGCAACATATTCCAAAAGATCTGGGGCTTTTGACAATACATTAGGGACTTAAGCCCCCAAAGCCCCCTCCTCGCAATGTCACTGTGCGTAACTATTTATTTATAAATCACTTGTAGAATAATACAGGTTTTAGTCAAAGCAGTATAAAACAAGAATCTATACTATAGCAAATAAGGCCATATTAGATTCTTCAAATAATATTTTTATTCTCTAGCTCTTTACAAAAGTTTCTGTAGTTCTTAAGAGTGCTCTCATTTTTAAATATGGTGTACACAAAAAAATTGTGGAAACATGTCACTTCCTCACACAAAGGTTGTAAATCTATATTTTGTTTAAAAAAAAAAACGGACAGCAGAATGTGCGCAGCTGTAACTAAGCTCTTAAGTCAACATTTAACTTCGTTATTGACTTAATTATGGCTGGTTAAATACATGCTGTATGGAAAGGTTCCAAGTGAAGTTTTATAAATGAGAAAATCTGAAAATCTTGTTATGAAACATCAAGAATTATTATTGAATGTTCAAATAATTATTATTAGCATCTCAAGAATCCCATATAGTGGGACTGCAGTTTAAAAAATAATGAATTATTATTATTATTTTTTTATTCTTTCTGTTTCAATAGCTTTGACATTAGAGACAGATTGTTGTCTTATTTGATATTGGAAATACGAAATGGCAGCTGCAAAGATAAAGTCAAACAGTCATCCAGCAAATCTGCTTCGGAGTAGATCAGAGGGGACGCTGATCGATATTGATGAGAATGTGACCATTAACAACAACAACCTACATGGTAATTATGCTCTCTTTGTTCCTGGCCTTCCATTGTAGCATTTTCCAGTATGAATACATTTCAAAAAGTTGTATTTGCTCTATAAATATGCTATGCCATCTCATCTAATTATTCTAACAAATATATGGGCTAGAATGATGTAGTTAACATCTAGCTGTTTTCTGACATTTTTTTTGTCTGTCTTAGGGGGCTGTGGTTATGAGATTGGAAAGACCTCTGAGTGGCCAGTCATACAAAAAGAAATTGAAAATCCAAAACAAACCACCAACCCCTTCTGGAATCAGCTGGGCAGGTCAAATCCATTCTTAAATGAAATTGTGCACACCAGCAACTACGATTCTGGAGTGTCCATGATGAAAGAGGATCCTGCATCTCTGTTTGACAGTATTAACGAAGACTCTCTTAGCACATCATCAGATGAAACAAACTTTGCTCATCTTTTAGCACCAAGACAAAACAATTTAAACCGATCTGGTAGGTGGAGAAGTGCCTCGGATATACTTGAAAGCCTTGAGAAAAAGGAAGACAAGAGAGCAGTAAAACTCAGCTCTAAAGAATCCTTTTTGAATCCTGATTTTGAGTGGTTGAAGAATGACCGGGAAGCTTATAAAATGGCTTGGTTGAGTCATAGGCAACTAACAAGGTCCTGTTTGGACCTGAGCCTAATGAAGCAAAGTCCTGGATGGGCCCAGACTCAGGCCACAGACATTCAAATCTTCTGCAAGATTGACCACAACGGAGGCTCTGTGCAGTTGCCAGAATCTGACATCACTGCTCATATTCCCCATGGACATGTCCCTCCAGGCGAGGTCCAAGATATTGCCCTGAAAGTTCACCTTGATCCTCCTCCTGGAATAAACAACAACTACACCACAACTCTGAGTCCTCTTTTAGAGGTCAAGCTTAGCAACAGCAATATTTCAGGGGGCATTTCAGTAGAGATGAGAATGGCTGCTAAAGTTAAAAATGACCCCACAAGCCACGTCTTGACTTCATTCATGGGTCTAGTCTCTCAAAGAAAAGAGGGACCTTATCAGAAGATAAAAGACTGCTACATATACAATGACATGTTACAGATGAAACTCTTTGATTTGAAACCGCACATGTATGTTATAACTGCTGCAGAGGCCACTGTTTTGGAGTCACCTGCAGTGTCAGTATGGGATTACTTGGATCGCCAAATCACAGTGGCTGTCTATGGTCCCAAGCACATACACCCTTCACTCAAAGTGGTGCTGGTAATAATGAGCCATAATAATATAGCCCCCAGGCTCCCTTTCTCTGACATTCAGAGGGGTAACAGGAACCTGCCCCCTGTTGTCTTAGAGCTTTGGGGAAGGCATCAATTTAATCCACAAGGGCTAAAGGATCTTCACATTGTATCTAGAGTGTTGGATCTAAACTTTGAAGTTAAACCAGAGGATCAAAATAAAGAGATTAAGCAGAAACAGCTTGAAGATGGAAAAGTCCATCATCTGCCATTAGATCTGGTCAAGGTGGGTGGAGGTGAAATGAGTGCCTTCAAACTCAGCATTGAGGTGAAAGATTCAAACAGCCTCACTTTGGGAGACTTCTATGTTGCGTCTCCTGAGGCTGCTCCTTTGAGGTCAGAAAAATACAACCACAGACGAGTAGATTGGCAGAAGGAAGCAATTCGTTCCTCCCCAATTCCTGAAGAATCTATTCCAGAGATCTTAAGCCAGAAGTTTCAGGACAGACCTGTAGATTTGCATTGGTATGGGGTAGCAATGAAATCGGTTCTCAGACAACCGAGGGTGGAATATCTTCTGGAATACTTTAAAGGTGATACAATTGCTTTGCTTTCAAAGGAAACTGTTAGATCTGTAGGTCACATGAAGGTTAAGGAATGGTACATTGGTTTTCTTCGAGGAAGAGTTGGGTTGGTACACTGCAAGAACCTGAAGATCATAACCAAGGACCAAGTCATCGATTTTACTGGAATACATCTCACCACACCAGTGCTCTTGGACAATATGACAGTTCCTTTTAAAAAACTCACTTACATGTACTCTGCTATTCAGACCCTGGTCACAGAGCATGTCAAATGCTGGAGAAATTTCGCTGAGGCTCTTGGTTACTCTGAGGTCTCGGTTGATGCCATCTCAAGGAGGCACGCTGAAACAGAGGCAGAAAAAGTGGCCTGTGTTTTAGAAAAGCTCAAAGAAGACTGTCATGCAGAGAAGAACAAGAAAAAGTTCCAGCATGAACTTATCATTGTACGTATTTTTAATTCGGATATGCAATTTTGTGATCAACAAGGATTTTATCATCTTTATATTTTCTCCACAGGGTCTGTTAAAGATGGATGCTCAAGGGCTAGTAGCTCATCTCATTCAGGATATAGTGATTCTGTCCACAGCTGTTGAGCTGGGAGTGCGATGGCGGGAACTTGCTGAGCGACTTGGGAAGATTTCCAGTGCCCAGATAGCTGTTTATGAGGCACCACACAAAGGGAAAAATGGAGAAGTTAGTACTCAGGTGAGCCAAAACAACATACTTTTTATTAACTGCACAGAATGGGATCTTCATGGTCACAGCATTTGTCATCTCATTTTGTTTCGTTTAATAGTCAATGTGGAAGCCTGCATATGACTTCCTGTTTGCCTGGAGTAAGAGGTATGGGGACAGCTACAGGGATATGATCCAGGACCTACACTTGGCACTGGATAAAATGAAAAGCCCAGTGACCAAGCAGTGGAGACAGATTACTGGAGCTCTCATCACTATTAACTCCATGGAGGTACTACGAACATATGCCTTCAACAGAGGTTAGTGGATGACTCTTGAAGCACCTAGATTTACTGAGGTAACCCTGCTGAGTTTATGCTAATAGCACTGCCATTTTAGACAACAATGTATCTGTTTATGGTGGCATCTAGCATTGATATAATCCCTTCTTTGTTGTATTTCATAAACACTGCTGGTTAGTGCTGGATTTGCTGTGACAATGGAATTGCAAGAAACTGGTTTAATTCTAAAAAGACTCTTAGTTGTTACAAAGACCTTTATTCAAAATTAATGCCTTTAAGGATTGTTGGTGGAAAAATAAATGGAAAATTTAATTGTGATAAAGATCTGATCTAAAAAAAAATATTTTCATTCTGGATGTACTACTTCAAAGACATCAGATTTCTTCTGCTTAATTATATTTATACTGAAACACACACTTGCAGTTCATTTGTTTAAATATTTGAAGCTGTATGTGGAACGTCCGATATAAGTGTTACATGAATGTTTGCCCTCTTGGAATGTGACTCATTGTTTTGAATTGTATCGGTGTACTAATATTTGTACAATCCCAAGATGTACCACTATACTAGGTTTAACAACTAATGTTAATGTTAATCTTATATCTTTGTTATATCTTTGTTATACTCCAGTATAGTACATAATACTGGCAAATTTTATTTATCTATTTTTGTATTTTGTGTTTTTCTAGTTGTCATTTTAAATATACTAACTACAGTGTTTAAGGGCCGTTACAATTGCAGAATGTGTTAGAACAGTCTTTTAAAATTGTATTGCTGTATTTTATTAATGCTAATACACCTTTTAAGAGTTGTAAATAAAAATATAACCATTTATGTTACGGAGCTCTATCGTAATGGGCAAAAATAATAATAAACATGTTTTTGCTGATTTTAATGTAATTTCTTTTTCTTTAGTAAATATTTTTTGGGGGTTTGATTAAAGGGGAAATACACCGACAAATCAATCGTCTAATTATGTAAACATGAACAGCAGCCAGTATTTATTTGCCATGCATTCTGGGTAAGTTAGCAATGTGCAGCTCAGCTTCAAATCTGTCATGTCCTTTTGCCAATTTAAAAATGATGACATTATTTGAACACCGATGGGTTCTCGACCTCATTTACAGTACATGGTGGTGAGACTCATTAGCCTTTATGCTGGACTCTCTAAACTATTTAAAAAGTACGGTCCGTTGCTCAGGCACAGCTCTTAGCTCTTTGAAGTCCCAACCTTTCCCAACACGCTAGCATGCCGGAATGTCCTTCACCTCTTTTTACCATACAGTATCTGTTACTTATTTAACTTGTGTGTTTACCTAGGCCCTGTCCTGCTAAGAGTTTCGTTGTTTAGCTTCACCCTCTGAGAGTTCTGTTCAGCTGAGCTGTATTGCCTGTATACTAAGCCATGATTATAGTACAAATAAAACCCCTATGACTTTCTTCTGTGGAACAAAAATTACTTTAAATATCATACATTGGAGCTCAGTGTGGTTCAATGTTGTTTTTATACCCAACAATGCAAATTAATAAAAGTTTGGATCAACATGAAGGGGCATAATGATTGACATTTTTGGATGGACTATCCCTATATCTTTGATTATGAATGGTCAATTAGAAACCATCTCACATATCTTATTATATTAATGTGATTTTGATATCCAAAACTCTGGACTTAATTGAGCGGTCTTGTGCTCTACAGCCCACAGGGGCTGTTAGCGTGTGATTTTAGATAACACTGACTCGACTCAAGCCTCAGCATGCGATGAGGAGGGACTGTCGCTCTCTGATTGGTTACCAAGAGAGAAGTTTGCAAACTGAAGGCCAAATTAAAGTCCAAGTAGCAGTGACCCAAATAAAAGACAGAAGTTTCTTGATGTTCTGTAGATAAATGTTCAACACTCCTTTTCCTAGTCTTATTTTATGACATTTTAAAGGTTTCACATTATTGTTTTGCAGGTCGATACCAATTGGTTAACATGCACATGCATCTATGGTCCATTTCTCAAAATGTGTATGTCAGTTCACCCAATTTCTAAAGGAGACATTAAAATTAGTTGATTCTAAACCCCTCCTTTCTAAAAACGTACTTTGCTTCCATTGGTCTTTCTGTCCAGTTACTGGTCTACTGCTTGCAGTGTGTGTCAGAAAACCATTGACCAAAACTATATCTGAATGCCTCCTCAATCATTAGTGATCACTGTAGGATAGAAACAATGGCGTCAGTTTTACCTTACCAATTTGAGCTCTCAACTGATGATGAAACTTTAGAAGAACCAGTTGATCAACCCGAACCTCCATCTAAGGCAGGACTTGCCAAGGACATTTCTTATTGGTGAGTTTAGAGACTATTAACCAATCACGCATCTTTCTTACAAATGCAATAGCCAATCAGATTTTTAAATTAATGTGTGCTCCCTGACTAGAACTGTGGTGAAAAATATTTCGAGTAAATGCATAGCAAATCTCTTTTGAATCGAAAATGAGCTTAGTTTTATCAATATATGGCAGTCTGGGCTAGTTTTTAACTTTACCATAAAAATTTTAACTCTTAGGAAGAGTGCTTCTAAAAAAAAAATTTAAAAAAGTGCATCCTTGTTTCCTTTTTGCATACCCTCGGGATTCTAAGAAAGGAAACAAGGAACAGATTTGCAGGAATTTAATTAAGTAAAATAATTTCCTTGCTTCTTTTAGCATCAAACTGAAATCTATGACTTCAAACTGTTGTCATTTTATGAAAATAGTACACAGCTGATTTTGCCTACACAATTCCACAAGGATTAACCTGTGTCTCCTTGCTCATGACTCCTCAGTAGCTTTAATCATGATTATTTAGGTTTAAGTGGCATTGGTAAGGAAATGAAAGCAGAGTACAGCTGTTTGTAAAGCATTCAGTGTCATCTATTAAATACTAATCTTTGAATCGATTCCAGAAAATAACAATGCATTTCTAAAATAGCAGAATTGATTTTTCGAACTATCTCAAACAGATACAGAAATAGCCTTTCTTCCCTTTAGCAGACAGTACTTTTCGTTAACACTTTTGCTGACTTTCAAAAACCACTTCATTCGGTGTGAAAGGTAATGTAAAATGGTAAGGTTAAAAAACAAAATAAGGGCACTTAGCTGAGTTTGAATTACACTAAAACCACAACAGTGTTTCATATTTAGCTGAATAATAAACGACCATGCTTAGTTTGCATATTCAGTAACTGTCATTTAACATTTCTTTATTTATCATATCAGAAGGTTCATCGGCTTTAGTTCAGATTCAGTTTATTCAGATCCTGTTCGGATCATTTTGATGTACCTTAAACTGTTTGATTTTGTTCACTCTTGCTAGAACTCTGTGCTCCATGGAAACTGTAAAAGTGTTATTATATTCAATGGCAAAACTGTAATGTAATGTAATGTTTTATATATATATATATATATATATATATTTGTTTATTTTGCTGAACTGAAGAAACGTGCAGTGGGTAGCGCTGTTGCTAGTTGCTGGTTTGAGCCTTAGCTGGGTCAGTTGGCATTTCTGTGTGAAGTTTGCCTGTTCTCAGGCATTTGTTTCCTCCGGGTGCTCCGTTTTATATATATATATATATATAAGAATAAAGTTAATAAAATAATCTAAACATAAAATCGATCTGCCATATTATGTAGGTGTTTGCAGCAGTCTTCACAATAAATTCATTAGTAGCATGAATGTCCACTGGTCACATTTAAGACAAAGTGAACGATTTAATTTGTTAAAACATCTCACCTCATAGATTTCTGTTAATTCTCTAAATAAAAGTAATGGGAGTTAGGAAAGGCAATAGAGGCGTTTTTCAACTCAGTAACTGATTGACTCAAATCAGGTTTTATGCACATTTGCATCTTTGGTTCTCTGATTGATCCTGTGGTCGGTTAACAAATGCAGCGAATGTGCACTTATCCTGGCTATCTACATCAGGCTTGACATAGCGGCTCGTTCTCATCCTGGATCAGCAAACCAGCAATGGACTTAGCCAGGAGGACCTGAATAAATTACAGTGGCAGTTGGTCAAATATTTGTAACCTATAATAATTGCTAAAGAAAGTTATATAGCAATCAGTTAATGTGCTCCATTGGGCACGATAATCGTAATATTATTTTGAAGTGTGTGTTGTGTTACTGTTTTCATATTTTATAGTGTGCGCACCTTTTAAGATTTGAGGTAATAATATCGCCACGATGGTCAAAGCAAGTTCTTTCAGTATTAAATGTCAATCGTGTATACGGATCACAATAACCTGCAGTGATACAAATTAGACAGACTTTGGAAATGGTTACACCATGCATGCCTTTTTCTGTTATTACTGAACGAATAAATGTTTGTAACGGGAGACGTTTGATTAGCTTTTATCAAAAACGTCCTGTCCTTACAATCTGTGTTTAATTAAATAAATTGTTTGCAGATTTTGAGATTTATTTAAAAAAAAAAAAAAAAAAACGAAGGATTTAGAAAACGAACATTCTTTTCTCTCCAACGCAATTTAATAGGGCACTATAAGGCTTAATAAGGCTAAATAACTTAATTCTTATATTTGCTAAATTTTTGCTGCCTTGGGCTATATTTCTCATCATGTAATGTATCTTTTCTAAATACAGTATAGTGTAAAAGCAAGTTTATTGCTAAGAAAAACAAAACAACCAAACAAAATTATATTTTCACTGAACACATCTCATCACATCACATTAGGTACAAATACAGTACAGTCCTATCTAGTATTGTGAAAAGGCAACCCGAAAGCTGCAGGCGCTTATTAATGCCGCCACGGTGGATCGAACATATCGAAGTGATGACATCTGTAGGTAAAGCTACGCTTTTATTTTTTTATTTTTTATCCTGGCTTTCTTAATTTCACTTTTGCGCAATACCCCTATGTTCTTTGACTTCATATACGAATGGATTTCAGAACAAAGAAGCTAAGCTTTTTTTTTGTAATTGACTGGTAATGACATATTAGGACATCCAGACCTTATACAAAGAAACAAAAGTTTCTAGAAAAAATTTACTCTTATTACTTTAAAGTTGATTTTCAACAAAATTACTTAAGCAGATCTAATATAACAGTGGGAGGCCTGGTTAATGGTTGAAAAGCTGTGGATAAAATGATTGCTTTTAGACCAAATGCAATGGGAAAAAGAAAAGGGAAAAAAGTTCCCGTTTCATGCCAAATCATCATTAACTGCTTTCTGAGTTTTTGGTGAGAAGCTTTAGCTGTTGTTTTTGTACTGTGTGGTGTTACGTCACCTTGTCTGGTATGTGGAGAAATCGTGCGTTTTACCTCACAAAGCAGCTAAGAAATCCTCAAGGACTGGTTTGTTCCATTCAGCAAGCAGTTCACCTTTGGCATCTATTGAGCAATAGAGGAAAGCCAAGTCAGCTTTGAGAATTAGGCCATTACCTACAGTACAACAAAATGAGGTAGACAAATCTTTTTTTACAGATTTTTTTTTCTATAGTTTGATCCCTGCTGTTTTATTTTTAAGACCATTAATTGTTAAAATTATTACTATTTTTATAAGCACAAGTCATTTTGACGTACAGTGCATCCGCAATGTATTTATAGCGTTTCTTTTTTTTTTTTGGTTTTGTCACAGCTTTATTCCAAAATGGATTAAATTAATAAACACATGTACATAAGTATCTACAGCCTTTGCTCAATACTTTGCTGATGCACCTTTGGCAGAAATTACAACCTCAAGTCTTTTTGAATATGTAATGTAATGTGTATTTATATAGCGCATTTATTGTGTATGGCCATACACCCAAAGCACTTCAATCATGAGGGGGGTCACTCCACACCACCAGTGTGCAGCATCCACTTGGATGATGCGACGGCAGCTACAAGACAACGGCGTCACTGCGCCCA